CATCCTAGAGTATTTCAATATGAGTTTAAATAATCAAATAATCTAGGGCGCCTGGGTGGCTCGGTCGTTAAGTGTCTGCCTTTGGCTCAGGTCATCATCCCAGGGTCCTGGGATCAAGCCCCGCATCGGGCTCCCTGCTCAGCAGGAAGCCTGCTTCTCCCTCTCCCACTCCCCCTGCTTGTGTTCCCTCTCTCGCTACATCTCTCCCTGTCAAATAAATAAATAAAACCTTTAAAATAAATAAATCAAATAATCTTATTCTTACCTTGATCTATGTTGCAAATTAAAAAAAAAAACAAGCAAAAATAATGAATACACTGCTGTACAAACCCATATTTTACATCTTTATCAGTAAGGGCACGGGTGATTAATATCTGAACTGCAATGCCTTCATGTCTCAGTATAGATACTAGAATATTTAGTCTCCTAATCTGCGTATGTGCTTCACTAGAAGTTAAGAAGGCAAATGTTAATGACATAGAGGTTAACAGGGAGGGTTCTAAAGCAAGAGTCAGTAAACTATGGCGCATAAGCCAAATTGTGCATGCTGCCCATTTTTATGAATAAAGTTTTATTGGAACGCAGCCATGCCTCTTTGCTGACACAGCATCCATGGCTGCTTTCAGGCTACAATACCACAGTTGAGTAGAAAATGGCCTACAGAGCCTAAAATATTCACCATCCAGCCCTTTACAGAAAAAGAAGTTTGCTGACCCTCAATCTAAAGTAAAGATCCTTGAGATCAAATTCCTAACTCTGCAGGTTCTAGCTGTGTGACCTCAGGCAAGTTATCTAGCCCCTCTGTGCCTTAAGTTCCTCATTGTAAAATGAAGATAATAATATTACCTGGATCAAAGGGGTGTTAAGAGCAATAAATGAGCATATAAACATCTCAGTGTAGGGTCTGGACTAAAGGAAACACTCACACTGTAGTTGTTAACTGAATAATCCACAACAAACTAAATTCATAATGAAGAAGTTAAACTAAGAGCAATTAATAATTAAAAAGGAAAAATAAAAGTAATTAAAAACCTGACCAACTCAAATCTATAGTGGTGAGGCTCCTCCCTAAATATCCTTTCTAAAAATTTACAAGAATTCTCTTTCTATGTGGGGCATGCCTAGTAGGAGCTTTCGAACATTGGCAGGCATTGCTGGGCACTAAGCCACATTAGGAGAATATAGAATAAATCCTTAGTAAACTCTGATGATATACTAAGTTTAGTTTACTAATAACACATTGAATAGCCCTTAATAATTCACTTAGTAATTTACTGGTAAATAGTCTCTAGCCATTCATAAAAATAGAAGTCAGTGGAATTAAATTGTGTTTGTGGTTCTGTTCACAGCCTACCAGATAGATCATCCTTTGCAACTGTTCACCCTGACTCTTCCCTGACTGGATGCATAGCCATCTGGTTCCTGGAGTAAATGAAACCAAGCCATGGATCCCATCCCTAGTAATTTTGCCAGTTTGACTTTCTCCTATGGCTAGAGGATATGGGAGTATGACATGTGGTTGGGTAAGAATAAATACCTTAGCCCCACTGGAAAATATATCCCAGTGATGAGTGGTAGGTAGGTAGCATCATATTTTGTTTAAAAAGTTTAAAATCTATGAGATAAAGGTGTAGCGGAGGTTGCTCCCTAGTCTACCCTGGGGGTTATGTGAGGTTGTTGGCAGTTCTTTCCATGAGGAGTTAGTTTTGCAGTTGTATAATTAACATCAAGAATAGCAGTTCTAAAGAATAAACGATGTTTAATTAAGAGGAGGAAGTGTGAATAGAAAGTCTCTTATCTAATCTGTTGGTTGTTTGGATCCTTATGACTGTCAGAAGTCTCTTCACAAAACTTCTAAATGAAGTAGAAATAATGATGAACCTGTGAGCAGGACTAGAAAAAAACCATTGAGAATAGTGACCGAGTGGCGTGGCAAGGTACATTCACCACAGTGAACTCTAATCATAGGTTCTTTTTCAGATATGCAATCGATTTAAAAAATTGCGATGGATATTTCCTGAGATAACGTTCAACACTAAATATCTGGTCCTTTCTTTCTTCTCATGCTTGGTTGGAAACCTCTCTGATCAGTGAGAATTTCAGCCATGCCTCTTCTCTCACTTCCTCTCCTGTGTCTCTATTTCTTCAAGATCTGCCACTGCCTGGAGGTCTCCCTCCTGTGTTCTCCACCTTCCCCCATTGCTTTAATCATTTTTCATTTCTGTTCCTGAAGACTCCTTGCAAACCCAGCCTAACTTGGATCAGGTGAATTTGAGCTGTCCATACCCCTCCTTTTTTCCCCAGGTCAGAAATCACTAGATAATGTATTATGGAAAAGGAAGAAGGCCATTAAGGAATATATGTGTGAATTTACAGTTCTTCATTTTTAAAACAACCTGTTTCCTGATTATAGAATACTTGTCCATTTTAGGAAATTTAGCAAAATAAAGAATACTAATGAAGGAAAAGATAATCACCCATAATCCTACCACATGGGGTAAACACTTAATACTTTGCTGTGTTTCTTTCCTGTCTTCATCTGTAGTTTATATTTATAGAGTCCTTACTATGTACTAGATACTTGCTAAACATTTTATGTATTTTATTTCATTTACTCTTCACAACAACCCTATGAAGTATGATTTATATTGTTCTCATACTAAAGATGAGGAAATAGGGCCCAGAGAATGAAATTACTTGACCAGGTAAATGAGGAAGAAAACAAGCTGATAGCAGCCCATAATATTAATGCTATGCTATTCTAGTTACCATTCTGCTCTGTTGATGTTAGATTTCATTATTTAAATTGAATTTATTGGGGCGCCTGGGTGGCTCAGTCAGTTAAGCATCCCACTCTTGATTTCGGCTCAGGTCGTGATCTCAGGGTGGTGAGATGAAGGCCCCCCATCACGCTCTGCACGGAGCATGGAGCCTGCTTAAGATTCTCTCTCTCTCCCTCTACCCCTCCCCAACCCCACTCACGTGTGCTCTCTTTCTCTAAAAAAAAAAAAAAGAATTTATTAGTGATCAAAGGATGGACTTTAAAAACCTGGTGAGTTGTTATCTTGGAAAAAGTAATTAAATGTGTATTAATGATGGTTCAAAATACAATTCAATTTCTTTTTTTAATTAATTAATTAACTTATTAATTTATTTATTATGTTCAGTTAGCCAACATATAGTACATCATTAGTTTTTGATGTAGTGTTCAACGATTCATTAGTTGTGTATCATCACAACACGTGCTCTCCTTAATGCTCATCACCTGGTTACCCCATCCCCCCACTCACCTCCCTTCTGTAACCCTCCGTTTGTTTCCCAGAGTCCGGAGTTTCTCATGGTTTGTCTCCATCTCTGATTTCTTCCCATTGAGTGGAGGGAAAACTGAATGGGAAGAAATCAGAGAGGGAGACATACATTTTAATTTCTTAATGGAGTACCATTTTGCTTTCTATAAAATGGCGTAGGGAATATTACCCACACAAAATGCTGTAAACTGAACTCCCTTCTTGTCATTTTCCTTGTTTCTCACAGTTCTGAATGAACTGATGAATTTATCCGGTAAGAAAAGAAAGAAAGGAACTCATCTCCTTAACCCACAAAGGATTCACACTCAACTTCTCCACTCACTCCCTCTGCCACTCTGGCAGAGCGACCAGCACCATGAATACCAGATTCATTGCTTTCTCTCTCATTTTGCTCTCCTGCTATTTCCCCAGTGCTGTTAATCATGAAATGGGCAGAAGTTGAAGTTCTCAGCCGACTTAGCAACACCTGACAGAATTATGATTTCCTTAATTATAGAGGGTGGACTCAATGCATATAAAATTTTGCTGTTCTTTTGTATTTTATCAGTATATAATGTGCATTTTTCTTCTATCAGTGACTTATGTCCTCTGAAATAATAGTCTACCAGAGTATAATTAGAAGTTCTACCTCATCTCCATTTAAAGATATTTGTGTGGAAAACGTTATCGGAAATCATTATATATGTGTAAATTTATAATCTGCTTTTCCTCATAACGGTTGAGAGACTTACACATTTTAAAGGACTGCACAATCTTGATTCTTTAGATGTATTTATATTGTTTGTGAGCATGTCAAGTATATCTATTTTATAAATGAGCTTCAGGGGGCACTGCTGCAGAATTCCTTAAAACTACTGTCATTTGATTCCTGGATTTCTTATGAAATGTCGACAGGCACTACGGCCTATTACTAAGAAAGCAAAATAAATAAGCATCCTAAAGGGTATTTTTGCACTACCTGATTTCAAGTGCTGGATAACAAGGTTAATCTAATTAGAACAATAAGCTGTTATGCTATAACATATATGAGATATAAGATGATTCATTTCAGCCTCTTCCTTTTATGGGTGAGAAAACTGAGTTTATGGCTTGTCCAAGGTCAACAGCTGAAAGGGAAGTCTCCTGCCTGGGTACAACCAAAGCTTCTATGATAACTTAAAGTAGAAGGCATTTATTTATTCACTATTCCCCAAAGGTTTTGGATTTAGAAAAGCCTGGAAAAATGAAGATTTCCCTATATCCACAGTATTTGAAATGGAGTTGCCTCCACTCTCCCACAACTTCTGCAACCGAGGGGTATACAAGACCATTTGGTGGTCAAAATTTCAAATTGCTTTTAGACTTACAGAAAAATTGCAAGACTAGTACAGAGAATTTCTATATGTCCCTGTCCCAGTAGACTATTAACATTTTATATACTGTAATATAATTATCATAACCAGGAAATTAACATTGGTATAGCACCATGAACTGACTCCATTTGAACTTCACTTTGAAATTTCCAACTCCTGTCCCTTTGCTTTTGCTGTTGTTCCCAAGACCCAATTCAGGATTCCATATTGCATTTAGCTGTCATTTCTCTCTGATCTCCTGTAATCTGCAACAGTTCCTCAGTTTTTCCTTGTCTTTTGTAACCTTGACAGCCCCAAAGAATACTGATTAATTTGTTTTACTCCATGTCACTCCATTCAGGCCTGTCTGGAATCTTATGATTGGACTGAAGTCCTGCATCCCCGTCAAGAACACCACAGAAATGGTTCCTCATCCTTCTCAGTACATCAGATCACAGCATGCATGATATCTGTATGTATTATCATCGATGATGCTGGTATTGATCACCTGGTCAAGATGGTCACTACACTTTTCCACTGTAAAGTTACTATCCCAGTGACCAAGGTGGAACAATTTGAGCACCAAAATAGATAATGATACTATTAGATTATAACCCATAAAATAATATCCATGAGTTAATAGTGACGTAAATAAGTAATATCTAGCTATTTGATAAAGTCAGCTCTTGTTATTCTCAGTAGTTATGTTCTATAAAGTCAGTGTGTGAACCTGAATTAGCTCATACTGAACCATTGCTCCTAGGGGAAATACAGGTTTGAGTTCCTGCCAGCCTTGGGTCAAAACCTTTTTATCAGTTGATCCATACATCACCTGGTTTTATTTTAATTTCTGTTTAAAGGCTCTATTTAGTTTGTTGATTCATTAACACTGAGCTCACAGCCAACAGCACTGTAACTCCTGCCGGAATGAAGCTCATCTAACACACACATTTTCTCTGTAAGGCACATCCTACCCTCGCAGTTAAGAACACTAGACAGCATTTCAGCACCATGCTTCGGGGACATTTTAAACAGTGAAATCGCCAACAGAAAGCACAAAAATGTGAAAAATGTGGCACTAAATCAACGAATCAAAGGACACTTGTTTACGGCAGGCAGGCGAGCTGACTTAAGGAGGCAGACTGTTGCCTTGTTGGACCTCAGCGGGGAGTGTGTGTTTCAGGTGTTTCAGATTTGTCACTGCTCTGCACGTGTCCACGAGTGACCAAGAAAGTGCCATGACTATAAATTTTAGCCTGAGGGTGAATTCTCAAATTCATAATCTGTGAATAATGAGGATGGACTGTATGTGGAGGAGATGTGACAGCTCTTCTTTGCAGCAGAACTCTAGTCAATGCAAAGAATGAAGGACATAGAGAATGGCCACCCCCACAGGTAACCTCCACAGGGATCATTGTTGCAGATGGACCACCAATGGCTACTAGAACAGTGGGCAAAGCTTTGAGGACGAAAGGGATTTGCATAGTTTCAAATTATTTCCCCCAAGACCTTAATTGACTACAGGGGGAAATCTAGTAAATTTATATTCATTTCAAATTTCATATTGCATGACTTCTTAATTTTTCTAATATTACATAGCATTAGCAGATGTTGCCTGTGAATACAAATAAATAGGTGGTATGTTCTCAAATTCTTGATAAGGGGAGCTCCACATTTTTCGCTGTATTTTCATATCTGGATAATCAGTACTCAACCAAAGCTGTTAATTTATGTATAACTGGAGAAGAGTCAAGAAGCTGTCACTTCAAGGGTAGATTTGGGATATGTAAGGTTCACTGCCTGTGTGAAATCATCCCAGGTAGGGGCAAGCACTTATTCTTCAGTGTTCCCGCTGTGTCCTGTTTGGATAGACTAGAAATACTTATTTTACAGTATAGATTGATTGTGTGCCCAATTGTCTCCTAGACAGGCTGTTTCCTGAATACAGTGGCAGCCCCCTCCACCTTTATATCTCCGGAGACAAGCACAGTGTCTCACATATAGTGGGTGCTCAGTAAATAGTAACTGGAAGTAGAATGGCATGGGATGAGACAGGGTAGGATCCAAGACAAATACCTCAGTTCTGCTGGGCATCCACCATCCACATTTTTTCACAGATGAATTTTTGTTCTTGCCATGTTTTCGGACGCTAATGTTTATCTCCTGCCCATGGTAAAGACAAGCATGACCCTTGTTGTAGTAGTTGAAGGCACATGGAAATGAAGACCTTTGTAAGCCCATTTGGTTTATGGGAAGGTTTTTGTTTCACGCATCTTAGTTCAGATGTGACCTTAGGTGTATTATTCATATACCTACCTTTATCCAAATAATGGTGGTACTCTTGTCTCTAGAGGCAAAACAGATTAATGGCAGTATTAGGGATTTTATGGAGCAGCTTATCTGAAAAAGCTTTTATTCTGAAAAAATTGTCATGATTGGTTCCGAGCACTTGGATGATTTCAGATTAAATCAAATGTATTAGGGTAGCTAACAAACATAACAGCTCCCCAATTCCAGAGACTTAATATAATGCACTTTTTCCTGCTCCTTAACAGTGCAGTTCAGTGTTCCTGGTTGGGCAGTTCTCACTCAGACAATGTTTCAAGGACTCAGGCTTATTCCCTCTCATGGGTCTACCCACCTCCAGGTCTTCAGAATCCTCTCCCCTCAGCTGTGGAGTTTTATGGCCCAGTCTAGGAGTGGTTTTCTACCCTCTTCCCACATTCTCTTGGAAGTGAATCAATCATATTTCCTCCCTTATGTGCAAGGCATGCTGGGAAATATCTAACTTAGTGTGCCCAGGAGAAAAAAAAGAGCAATTGTTCGGTAAACAACCAGCCAGTCTGCCTCACTAGCTCAGCCTGGCATCTCTCTCTCAATTCTCATGTCACTTGTTGTCCTTATTCTTCTTCAGATACTTAACACTTGGTTCATTGTATTCCTTCATTCATTATGAAACCCATTGGTACCATAATGGGCTTCTACAACATGGCAGTTGATGGAGTTTTTCAAGAAAAATCAAGTTTTTTTCCAGGACTCCACCCTGGAATTCAGTCTAGTTCAATGCTATTTAACTCTCAGAGTATTTGGGAGTTTTGAAAAAATATGAGTGTGACTACCTATCTCACAGAGCAAGTACTTTCAGCTACTCACTATCTAAATTTTGCCTCAAATATTTATTTGCTGTCCATTCATTTCTTCATATTTTGCCTTTCTGTAGTCTAACTGGAAAACAAGCAGAAGCAGATATTTAAGATTTAGGGGAAAAATGTAAAGGCAAAGAACTTTCAGTTCTCTCTCTGAATTTAATTATCCTTGGAAATTTAGAAAAGATTATTAGTCTTATTAGAGAATCAGAGTGTGAGAGAGAGCACAAGCAGGGGGAGGGGCAGGGGGAGAGGGAGAAGCAGGCTACCTGCTGAGCGAGGAACCCGATGTGGAACTTGATCCCAGGACCCTGGGACCATGACTTGGGCTGAAGGCAGAAGCTTAACTGACTGAGCCATCCAGGTGTCCCAAGTATAGGTTAGTTCTACATCATTTTCCTCAACTTTAAAAAAAATGTTTTCATTATTTTCCTACTAACGTGTCTTTTTAGACTTTTTTTTTTTCTTTTTTTTTTTTTACCTAATCACTTCCTCCCACAATGACATTTTAATACTACGGGTATGCTGTGTATCTGTGAAGTCAGATAGGATTGAGGGGTTGAGGGCCACAAACCACTGTGATAGCCAAGATTTTTTTTGCTCCCCAAGAACCAGTTTCACCTGTCTGGGGTAATATCCCCACCATTGAGAATATATATTCTAAATAAAAGGGGAATGAGTTCTGAAAATAAGAAGCATTTTTTCATGATGTCTTGATTACTTATTAAATTAAAGGTAGTTTAATATCACCTGTTGTACATTTGGCATCATAATGAGACAGCATTAGGAAACTCAAAAATAATACCATTGAATGGTATTATTGAATGCCTGTAGTCTAGATAAAGCTAACAAACATGCCTCCAGCATTTTAAATGGACAGTGATGCTCATGCAAACGAATAGAGATTTAGTAAAATCTGAAAATGCAAAAATAAAATCTGGTAGAGGGCAAAGATAAGAGAAATTGAAGAGATGGAAGCTTTCTAGAGAGGCCGTTAATCTGAGTTTAAGCTTACCATAAAAAGGAAACATAAAAGGAGGGCTTGTGAGGCAATAGGATGGAAGAAAAATTGTGCCGGATAAGGAAGCTGAAGGAAATCCTATTCCCTTTTCTTTTCGTAGGTGACGGTTACTACAATAACTAGGTAGCTTCTTTTTCTGATTTGTTGGAAAGGGAAAAGATTAGGCACAACTGAGTCTGCAAGGCTAGGTCATGTCCCCTACATGTCGGGGAACACGGGAAGCTTAGAGCCTACGGGCCAGCTGTCTTCTCCTCCAGCCATAGGTCTGGAAGGAATCTTCATGTGGCCCGGCTGTTCTCCTTTCTAGCTCTTCCTGCTGTTCCTCACTCCCCTGCCTCCTGTTTGTAAATCTGCAGCAAAGAGATCCCATCTGAGTTGTCAGCCTTACCTCTTAACCGCAACATCTCCCCAGACCCTCCTCTCTTTCAGTTCTGTCTCCCAATCTCCCAGTGGTCCTTGTAGGCTCCCACTTGCACACTCTTGCTTGTAACTGTTATTGCATCTGGACCGCCTTCTGCGTGCATCTTTGTCTACCTTCATATTCTTCCTTTTTGTTCCCGCTTCCCAACGCTGACAGGTGGTGTGAACCTCACTTTACAGGTGCCCGGCCCTCCTCAGATCACACAGCTGGTGTGTGTGTGCCCAGGTTCCAGGTCTTCTGCCTCAGAGTCCGATGTGCTGTCAACTCCTCTCTGGCAACTTGACTGCCATGTTGTAGACCTTTAGTGAATAGTTTTTCTACTGACGAACGTACAGATAGATACCTTTTACTCTGAAGATGGGTGAATGATGGTGAATAGAACTGCCATAGTCATCTGCATTGTAAGTTTTGTATTTTATTTCCTGCTCATTTGTTGACATCTGTCAGCACCTGGAAATAAAGTTTTGAATCTCTGCTTCCCTGTCTGCAAATGTGTGAGTCTGGTGCAAGATGAGCGCTAAGTGTTGACTCCACAGTATGAATACCATACATGTTGGTTCTGTGTAGTACACCATGAGTTTTTAGGTATGTACTATAGGTAAATGACCACAGATAAATAGAGGCCAAGGGGTTCACAGGCAGTGCTGGGTGTTATGTTGCTTAAAGGTGGAATTTGGTGCACTTATTTTTGTATCCATGGGCCTAGACTGACCATGGGACATAGTTGGTGCTTAATACATGTTTATTGAAGCAAAAGAGCTATTGTTTCCCTCCTCTATATGGGGTGTCTGCCAAGTCCATAACAATTCTCCCTTCTCAGGAGAAGAGAACTGGGAACTCAGAATTGGCTCTGGCTGTTTCTTTCCTGAATTCCTGTGCCCACC